GCAACTATCCATGGAATCATACGATTGGAATATTGCAACGAATATATCAGCCTTACTTCGGCTTGGTGGTATTCTGTGGACCATGGTATCCTAAAGAGTATGATGACGGAGACAGTAAGTTAAAGCATTTTCACAATGCTTTGGAAAAGAAAGCTGAAGAAAAGATGTTTGCTTGCTTCGCAAATGCACTTCCTACAATCTAAAAGAAATCTTTTTAGATTACTTTCCAAGAATTCTGCATCCATTCAATTTTATTCATCTGACTGAAGCAGAAATGGACAGAGGTTATAGAGCATATTATTGCTTAGCTAAAGTCAAAGATCTGCACTTGAAGAACGTGCTGGGTAAATTGCAATGATTTGAAGGATCTAAAGGATTTGAAGGACATGTGTCTCAAACTATTTTTGTACGTTTGCTGACCTAGGAAAACTTCAGGATATTTCGTTATGGCTGACGATACTGTATTCAACTTCTGGAATGGTATCAATATGCAGTTACCACTACATCCAACTGGTTACGACTTCAGCAGTATAAGAGGATGGTGGATTACTGGGGACATACCCGGTAAGATCAAAGCCAACATTAATTAAAGAGAATTTTAGAAAATCTTATCAGGAAGGAATGCAACGGTAGCGGCAAAAGAGTTATTCACACAAGTGTATAAGAATATTACATGGGTGCAGACAGTTTGGCAACAGTATCAGAAAGGAGTGAGTTAAGCTTTCTCCTTCTCTTAACCAATATATTACGATTAAAAACCTATTGAAATCACTCGAAAGGGTTTTCAACATTGGGTCATTGCGCATCAGCTAGCGAGAAATAATTTAGGAGCCAAAGGCCAAATTGGCATACAGATCTAGTGATAAAATTATTAATAAATGAAGCTTCAAAAGTGGAGTTTGATCTGAAGATACTGAGCCAATTTCTACTTAATTTTAATTATTATTGATATGAAAATGTGTAACGTAAACAAAATGGAACTAATGTGACAAATTTTAGCTCATGGTCTACAAAATCGCGAATTCTATAATGATCTAACATGCTGATAACGGACTATAATCATTTGGCAAATTGCTGTGAATTCATATTAGTAAACGTATCCAATCAAATTTGCGATCTTTCGTGTGGTAGAAAAGCTGTTTTAGAGCGAAATCAGCTCAAAGGCAATAGTATTATTACCATAACCTGCTGAGTTCCGCGATCGACAGCTCCATTTTTTTAGTTTCCTTCAATATTAAACGAGATAAATCGAGTCATTTATCAACGAAATAACATTATTCAACGTAATTGGTATCTGACCGGTCTTTTACGAAACCATTCAAAGCTTTCCGCTTACACATGTTCTAAAGAAGCTCAGAAGTAGTGCTACTCCGTACGAGATCCGAAACAGACAAGTTTGTCTTAGCCCATATAATAAACATAAACATCTGTGGAGATGACCTTATACTTACCATTAACTGCAAGCAGATAGGAGGTTTTTTAGTAATACTCAAAAAAGGACAAAATACTTATATAAAAATGAGCCACAAAAAGAGCTGTACTTGTC